ATATATATATATATATATATATATATATATATATATATATATATATATATATATATATATATATATAATGGCTGTTTTAAATATTTACTACCAAATGTTTCACGATATAATACTCATTAGCTTAATTAAAGATACTTAGTTACTCATTAGTTATGTAGCAATGAAGTTTAACAGAAAAAAAAATCAGATTGCGTGTGGCTTCTTTATCACTAACATTATTCATTGCGCAGTAAACAGCTGTTTTCCTGAACCGATCATCTATTGCTTGGTAGTTTCTTATTTAAAATACCTTTTAAAACTTCCAAATTTTGCTTTTCTCTTTGAGTTCCCTTCAAGCATTTGTCTCAAAATCTTAATTACATCTGTCCTCTACTACATGATTATTCCTTCTAGATGTGTGCCATATATCTATCTGTTATCGAATACACGAATAATGGCATTTCATCGTTTGAAAAAAAAAAGGAAATCAAAAAACTTCGTTTGTAAATGTTTTCAAATGGATAGGCAAGTTTTTGATTCATCGTTTAGCATGGAAAATTTAAATTTTTTTTTTTTTTAATTTTTATATCCTTTCATTTGGGCACGTATCTGATCGTTTCATCGGCGATTATCTAGCATTTAACTAACCTATAATCAAGGTTATTGTGAAATCCAGCATGTTTCTGTAAAATGGCTTCAGTAGTAAGCAAGAAATAATATCCCACAAACTTACCATTTTCCAAAAAAGTTGAATAAATTTTTTGTTTTGCCCATATTTTACAACGTTGCAACAAATGATAAATCAGTAATTCTACTATTTCTGTTGGAGTAATTATGACAGCAAACAATTCGTATACGTTCCCAAGTTTCCTTTTCCACTTTTTCCCCGTTTCTCCCATATTCTTATTCAGATTGATTAATAACTTTATAATTAACTTCATCTTGGAGTAGCTCCGTCGTAGAGTAACCACAGAAGACACGCTGACCGTACAATGACGGCTATGGTAACAGGTTGCAAAGATTCGGAAAAATGCATGAATCCACCTTTTACTACTTTTTTTGCTGTCGGATGACAAGTTGTCATATGTAAAGTTTTCAGTGCAGATGCTGTAATACCGCGAAAGGGAATTTTCATAATCAGCTAATATCCCTTACATGATATAAATGTTAAGAAGTCAATCATCCCTCGTTCTACGTGTATTTTTGATATTTCATTGGGTTAGAGAGGAGGATTATAATATCTGCATTTTGTTATAAATAAATAATTGTTTGAGATTTATATTTGAAATCCAGTTTATCCGATCCGATACATATACGATGGTATTGACCTTTTGATGTGAAATCGGTGAGTTATTCAGTTCAATCCTACCCCGTAACTACCGCGTTGCGTATTTAACCATCCGCGAGGTTGAAACTGTGAATGTAACGAACATTCTCTTAATTTTTCATTTAGATATCGAACTCACAGGTATCTTCATATCCGATCTATAATTAATCAATTTTTTTTCATTAAACGGCACTTCCTTTCTACGCACTTTCTACGAAATTCCGTTTTCTTCAACAGCTGTGTGATTGTTTTCCAATTTCGTCTTCTCTTTTTTTTTTTAAACATTTTCCTGATAAATTCTGGACAACTTCTAATAATAATTTCATTTTAATCCTATAATTATTCTACAATGGATTCTATCATCTCTTTAGACATTTCTGCAACAATCATTCTACAATGAACGATCAGGATAAAGTGGCTAGACCAAAATCTTCGAATTTAACTTACTGCTTAAACTTTAATAACATACACAGGAGTAGTAAAGGTGTACTGGACATCTGGTTGTGCACACACACACACACACACACACACACACACACACA